CACACACACACACACACACACACACACACATACAGACACACAGAAACACAGACCATAAAAACAATTAAAGACTTTTTGTTTATATTTTTTTTAAAAAAGGTCATACTTAACAGAGAGTTTCTGCAACTTTCTTTTCTCAATCAATACATCTTAGACATATTTTCATATCAATATATATGGATTTTCCCATTCTTTTAATGATTGCATACTATCTTATTCTATGTATATACCCTAATTTAATTATTGTACCATTGGTTGATGAGCATCTAGATTGAATACAGTTTTTCACTATTATGAACAATGATGAAGTATCTAATTTTGCACATGCATATCTTTGCACATTGATGCTAGTATTTCAGTAGCATATAGTCCCCAAAAGTAGAATTGTTGATACAAACTTTCTAAATTTTTACAGATACTACCAAATTTTCCTTATCAACTCTTAAAAGGGGTATTTTATCACAAGTAACTTTTTAATTCAGATTATAAGGAATTAGAAGAAAGTCTTTCAAATAATAGAATAGTGTATATTATCTAAATGTAATCAAAAGGCTTCTCTTTAATTTCCTACCAGTTTGCCTAAGGAATATTTTTTTCCTAAGTAATTGATAATTGTGTTCAGATCAAACAATTACATGACTTTTTCAACTTTGGGACAAGTATATTAAAAAGAAAGTTGTAAATGCTTATAATTGTTCTATAAGAATAGTAATGAGAAAATTAGCAAATATGTCCTCATTTATCATTTCTCAAAGAGAATATATTATAAAAGTTAATAACTCAATTTCTAGACTCAAAACTCAATCATTCATTCAATGACTATTTATTGAGCATTTACTGTGTGCCAGGCTCTGTTCTTTCTAGGTGTTAAACATATGGGTGAACAAGACAAAGAAGACCTCTGTGCTCTCCTGCAGCTTACATTAGGGTCATGGAGATAAAAATAAATTGACTAATAGAACAATTTCAAAAAGTGATAACCAAACAGAGTATTATGAGAAATTACTGGGGTGGAGGAGCAGGGTTTCTTTTAGACTTGATGGCCAAGCAAGGTCTCTCAGAGAAATTGACATGTGGGATGAGGCTTAAATGACAGGAATGAGCTAGCCAGGGCAAGATCTGAAGCCGAGAAAGAACAAAATTCCTAATGTGGAAACACATTCAGCCTGTTCGGAAGGCTAGTGGGCTAGCCTGTGACATTCGATGTTGTAGGAGATAATTGGGTGAGGCAATTAGGTAGGATTTTTAGGCCATTGGGAGACGTGTGCTTTCTATTCTAAGCCACTAGATTGTATTAAGCATGAAAGTGGCATGATCTACTTTACATTAAGAGACAATTCTGGCTAATATACTGCTCACCACTTATTATTAAGCATGTCCTTGGACAAGCTACATTACCTTTCTTAGCTTCAGTTTCCTCATTTGTAAAGTTGAGATAATAATATTATGTGTTACATGGAGTTGATCTGAGGATTAAGTGAGGTAATGGATGAAAAGCATTTTGCACATTGCCTAGAACATAATAATTGTTCACTAAATGATCTCAACTAAATCACTTTTATATCATTAAGATAATATTGAACAGAACTGAGCATAATTCATTATCCCCAATTATGCAACATAATAAAAAATATCCTTTAAAATTAGTCCGATTCAAATTCTCTAATATTGAAAGTCTAGATATTTCATTATTGAATCAACATTCAGTCCCTTCTTTTTTGCTGATCCTATAATACAGCCCCTTATATTCATACATACTAGATTGTATGTATTTGTATTACCGCTAGAGCCTCAATGCTCAGTACATTCTATATAAGGGAGGCAAGCAGGTAGGTAGGTGGAAGAAGGGATTAACAGATATGTGGAGATTAAAAATCATAAAGACAAGAGAAAAGAAGGGAGTGTTTTAAATTAAAATATTTTTTAAAAATAAAGTTTTTAAATGATGAGTGTATAAAATGTATAACTGATCATTTCTTGCTGTGTTTATTATTCTATTTGTGCATTTACATAGTACCAGACATTATGCTAAAACCCTAACAGAAGACACATAAGTACTTACTGCCTTCTAATCTTGCTTCATCTCTACTGAAAATATTTAGCAACATTCTGAGAAACAAGAAAGAGGTACTTCTCACATTTACCAAGGTATTGAAGAATTACAAGTAATACAACCAAAATTGTGAAACCTACTGCACTCAACCTTTGAGTGTCTCATGTACTCAGATCTACTTGTCACTGTGATATGTGACATCGAGAAAATTGATATGTGGAATTCCAATTTCTAGGCTTTGAAACAAAGATCCATGATACTTGTGGAAACATTTGTTAACAATTATCTTTCATCTAAATATGCAAACTGTTTCTACACACTTGAAAATGTATAATGGATGAAAAGTGACTCTATACCCAAATATAGAGGACTGAGAAATTTGAGAAGTTACACATTTAATTAAATAAAATTAGTAAAAGAACAATGAGGTACAAAAAACAATATCCTCTAATGGAGACTATTCTGTGATATACAACATTCTATGCATTGTCTTTTTCTGATCTTTATAACATTTCTCTTAAGAAAACCTCGTAGTTTATATCTGCAGTATATAGAAAAAAAAAAAAACCCCACCATGCTGAGTAGATGATTTGACCCAGCTCTCTAAATCAGTAAATGGTAAAACTGGAACTTTAGCTCAAATCTTCTTAGTGAACTTTCTGCCACCCCAAACTAATTTAACGTGCCACAAATTGAGCAATTCATTAAAACTGCATGAATTTCTATTTAAAGACAGGTGTGCAAACTATGTATAAATAAGTTGCAAATAGCATTATTAAAATTCTACCTGGAATATTATAAATCCTTTCAAGCAGGACCATAATCTCTTTATATAAGCACAATATTCCCCTAACCATTAAAATACTACACATTCCCTTGCTCCAGCTAATCATAACAAGGCTTTCATTTCTTGAATACATATGTGTCAGACTCTATCCTACATTTTCCACATTCGTTGACTTCAGTTCTTAACAACAATCTTATGATTGTTATCATCATCATCATCATTATTATCAATCTTTTGATTGTTATCATAATCATCATCATTATATAGATGGAAAAAACAGAAGCATAAAGAGGTTAAGTAACTTGTCCATGACCATTTGGCTAGTAAATTGATTCGGTGACTCTTAACAGCAATATTATGCTGCCTCTTGAAATGGAAGCCTTGTTACCCAAGTCCAATCTCTCCCCTGTTAGATTCAATCAATGATAAAGAAAGAATCTCTAATTTAGATTAACAATTTAAACTTTTTATGTGCATCTCTAAGCAATGTTAATCTTGTCAATCAGCGACTACACTTCATCTTCAAAGTGCTGGAAGACCCACATGTAAAGTGTCTAACAGAGAAACTGGCACAGCATATGCAGGTGATAATTACTGAGAGTCTACTATGTGTTTGTCATTATGCTAAGTGCTTTTCTCTATATTTTCACTCCATAAACGTTAACATTTTTCCTTTTTCTCCTAATGGATAGGCTAGATCCAAATCCATCTCTTCGTAAATTTACTTGGGCAGTAGAGAAAATTTATTTTCATTAAGGCAAGCACACTGTTTTATATGGGTTATAAGGCAATATTATTGTTCTGGCCCTTGAAGAAATCCAGGTGCACATAAGAAAGAATGGAAGGGAAGTCATCAATAAGAAGACTGAGGTTGTAAGCTTGACTCCCCACCAATAGAGAGATTTCCTGTCCAGGAAAAGTAATACTTCAAGCACAAATAAATTAAAAGTTTATATAAGTTCTCTCCCTGAGTCCGTTTAAATATTATGTTTTCTTGACATTTTTAAAGAAAAAAAAATCAATTTATTAAAAAAACTGTATTCACACATAACTTTTGAGAAATCCACATATTATGCAAAACAAAGTATACCAACCTCCCCTGGTAAAACTACAGTTTGGAGAAATTTGATTTTGAAATGATGCTAACCCATTCATTAATTTTACAAGAACTGAGCAAGAACTATCTTGCATACTTTGCATTAAATGATGTAGATATAAAAATGAAGAAGAAAATCTCCCTTCCACTATGGAACTCAGAGTCTAGTAAACAAAACTGACCCCATGGAAAGCAGCCATTCTTTGAAATATGGCAATGACTACTTCCTACTTGCCACAATGGGTTCGAACGACATAGAAATGATCATATGAAATACAATGACATTGGCTTGGAAAAAGCTGCACCTTTTACAAAAAATATATATCTTATAAAAGATGTGATATATGTGTGCGTATGCGTATTATATATGTTGATTACATATATATTATATATATATAATACATATATATATATATATGGTATAACAGAAAACAAGTTTCTTCTTAAAGGTAAATATATTTAGCATCAGTGGACCTCAGAGTAAGACTGGAAATCCAGGATGTCTGCTGAATCTAGTTAACTATCCAAATAGATCCATATCTTTCTCCTGCCTAATGTTCTTCAAATTCCTAGTTCATTAATATATTACATCTAAACAAGAAAGCTATAGAACTACTTACAGTAACAGGAGAAAGGTAGGAAGTAGTGAATATAAAACTAAGGCAGAGTTTTGGGTTTCATTGTGCATTCCACAACCAATATGAATGATATTGATTTTCAGATTATCTGTTATTTTGTATTACTCATACCTCCTTTCCCCTCTATTAGTGAAGAGAACTGAATTGTCTGTGCATTTGCTTGATTCCACTGAGAGGCCTGAATCGCCACTTGGAATATCAATCATTCTTTTAAGATTAGTCTGTACTAAAAGCTTGCAGTGAAATGATAATGCACTAACCTGTCTCCAGTTAATGGCAAAATAATGGTCGCTTGAGAAGAAAACACAATGAAAGATAATCTCATTTGAGGGCTGCAAAATAAGAAGAGAGGCAGTTAAAACATTTTTAAAAGAAAGATTGATACAATACAAACGTATAGCTAGGGAGTCTCATTTAAAATATGTCTCACTGAATGATCCAGGCTCCTTTTAAATGGAACTCCCTAAGTAGATACACTAACTCTGCTTAACATTACTGCATAAGTCACTTTGGATTTAGTCAGTGCTTCTAACACCCAAGCACTCCTCCATGACTCATTGGACCTTTTAGGAGGAGTCTAACTAGAAAGATAAATTCTAGGCTAATGCAAAAAAATTCTTTTGTAGAAAATGCTAGATGTTCTTCCTCATCTTTTTAAAGGAGGCCAGACCCTTCAGAGTGATTACTGTTAGCAATATTTAGGCTGGAGAGCAGTCAGTTTGATTTAATTACCATAATGATGACATGAGTTCACAGAAAAGTTATTCTGAAGTAAGGATACTTAAGGAGTGCCATGGACAATGTGAAAGAGACTAACAAATCCCATTTTAAGTAAGCATTTTCAATTTTCTAAGTCTCTAACGTCATAGTTCTGATCGTCAACAATTGCCCCAGTTAGCTACATCTTCTAAGCTTTAAGCATTTATCTCACAGAATGGTTCTTATTTCTAAGACACTCTTTACAACCATTACTAAGAATTGAAACTGAAGATATGAAACTAACATTTATAAACTGAAGATGAAAATGATCTCAAAGGCTCATACAAACTTTGAAAGTAATTCTCTTCAGTAGTCACCCTTTATTTACTTACTACAATATACTGTTAGTAACCAAGGAAGTAACCTTGAGCCAGAGAACTGGGTATGACAGAATTCCAACTTGCAAACCAGACCAAATAAATAAGAGCCTCACTTCTTTAAAATGCTATATCGTAATGATTCATTGCTTTCAATCAGAATCTATGTGATACTCTTGAATTAGAAAATTTATAAACAACTGTCTCTTCTGCCTTTGACATTGAAGGATATAGGGCCTTATTTTTATTTCTTAGACAGTTTTACCTTAGATTCTATTCAGAAATAAATGTTATACTTGGCTTCTTAAACAGGAGACTGATGATTGAACATGGACAAGCATACATTTTTATAGGGATGAGTTTACTGCTGCCAATAACTGAAAGCAAGGATTGCCTAGGCCTCTACAGATTGTTGAAGTTACTTGCAACATGACTTTCAAAATGTTTTGATCATCCAAGCCTGTTTTACAGAAAACATTTGGGCTAACAAGACTGAAAGAAGCAATATTTAATGATACAGCTCGTTTTCATGTCCTTTCCATTATCTTGATAAACTTGTATTTACTCATTGCATTTTATTTTATTTTTTTAAGAAAAAGGAGAGGGAAAAAAGCCTCAAAAGCCTGGTGTCCTGGGGCTATTTTTAAATAGGAATGCCACTAATTCCTAGTTACCTCTAAATAAGAGAGTCAGCTGGATTTCATAGCAGCTATGCTTTTTATAGGAGAAGAAACTAGTCTTTCTTAGTAAGGTTTATTGCATATAAAGAACAGTTAAATTTTAAACCAGCCACACACCCACGCATTGTGTAAACACAAGTCATTTCTTTAAACATATACACAAATGCCTTTTCTAGTAGTGGGTTATTAACACATGTTCATTCGAAGTTTACCAACACTTGTTTTTTTTTGGTTTTTTTTGTTGTTGTTGTTGTTAATGAGGACCTCTACAGTGCTAAGGATTGTGTGGAAAGGAAAATATATTATGGATACTGTTAGCATAAAAATATTTTAATGTGATAAGTTATGAGGAAGCATAACTGAAATTCAACACAGATGAAAATTCAGAAAGGAAAATACATTTAGAATAGTATTTGAAGATGCTTCCTCATAGCCTGGGCCAAGTTTTGGAGATCCAGATGAAATAAGCACTCAACAACTGAAGACTGTCCTAATAACTACTTATGTGTAATAACGATCTTGAGGAACTTAATAATCGACATTTCAGTAAAGGCTTTTCCTGCAAAAGGTTTCAAAAAAGGGATAACCCTACATTTTGGTCTACTTCCCTCCTCCTCTAACTCCCCTGCCTAGAAAAGTAAAGTGGGAGAAATACCTCACAAATCTCTCTGTAAGTTGCTGGACAAAATTGTAAATTTCAATCCAGTTATTTGCCACACTCCCAGACCTGAAAAATGAAATTGAACATATCAGAAAAAAACAAACATTTACATTGAGGTAAACTGGCCTCTTCTAAAAGCAAAGTAACAATATCACTAGCTGAAACTTAGGTGCTACAAGAATCAAGAAAGTCAACCCAACTTCAGGAACACCTGCCTGCTAACTGTTTGGAGTAGGATCCCAGCTCTTTAAACACAGCCTTCCTACGCCGGAAATGCAAACCACGCTGGGTACGCTAACCCTTGGCTTTTCCTAGTATAAGACCAGGCAAACTTTAGCCAGTGCAGCAGAGTAAGGACAGAGAGGCCGAGGAAGAGTCCTGTCTGGGTTCCATTTCCATTTCCGAAAGGCCCCTTGACTGGCAAGCAGTGACTACCTCATCTCCCCTCAGAATCTAGCAGCTCCAGGGTCCTATCACCCCGACTCTTTCAGGCCGCCACAGATCCGAAAGCACTTGCCCTCCGCACGGAGACTGCAACAGGGCACCCATCAAAGGGTTTCTAACACACCCCTCCCCAGGGCGCACACACATTTCAGCTTCTTCCCCAGCCACAGTTCATCCAATGCCACCCACACCAGAAGACCCTGGACCTCCCTCTAGCACTCACTTGTCCAGGACGAAGTAGAGATCAAAGGCTCCTCTGCAGGAGGGCTGCTCCTGGGCTCTCAGCAGCCCCCCAGGACCGCAGAGCGCCAGCAGCCACAGCCCCGGGACCAGCCAGCTCCCGGGACTGTGGGCCAGGGACAGTCCCGCCACCATCCTGCGGCCAGGGGCCTGCGATTCCGTCCTGCTCGCAGCCCCCTCGGCTCGACTCAGTGAGGACACTACGGTGGTAGGAGTTACCAGGGATCCTGGGGTGGGAGACAGCGAGCAACTAGGTCGCTGGCGCCTGGGGCAGCGGAACCCACTAACTGACGGAGGGAGAAATGGAAGGAGGGAGGTCCTAGGAGGACAAAGGGAGACTCTGCAACCGACTGCTTCAGCTGCCGCCGGAACTCCTGACGAATCCCAGTGGAAGAGCGATCCAGTCCTTCCCCTCCGGATTCCGGAGAGTTCCTGCAGACAATGAGGGCCCACGGCGACAGCTCTCAAGAGAAGTTCCTCCCCCGCCTCTGGCCCAGCGTCTAGCGCCTGCCTCGGACCCGGACCGAGAGTCCCATTTCTCTGGGTGGGCTGAAGTCTGGCTGCTGCGGCGCGCTGCGGGGCGGGCGCCTCCGGGTCGCGGCGACGGCAGCACAAACTTGGAGTGGAAGTCCCTGTCTTCTGGTTCCCTTCCTCCGGCGATCCAACTCCCCTCTGCACTCCAAACTTTCTTCCTTGTGCTCTGCTCTGGCACAACGCAGCCGGGCGGTCCTCTTTAGGGGAGGAGGCTGAGCGGGCCCTGGGCTAGTGGTTCGGACAAGCCACTCCAACTAAAGCCAAAAGCGCGATCTGGCCAAGTCTCATCTAAGTGTGTCAGTGTGCGCCTGAGGGCGAGGGCGGGGCCTGATCTGAAGCCTGCAAGCCACACACGCACAATTGTGGGTTCGTGCCTGAGCTGAAAATGACTAACGCTTGCCAAATTTTGGAAAGGAGAGAAGGACTTTAGCAAAACAAATGTCCTGTAGAAACTAAACATACCCATAGATACTGCAGGGCTGGCTTATTTCAGCAGCTGTGCAGAACAGTCCTCTGTGTGGCTGGGAGATTGAAAACTAGCAATTTCAAGGGAGGCGATGGTCTCCTCACTCAACCCCACCCTCACTACCACAAGCACACAGTTTTTTACTTTGAAACTGCTACCTAGGAAGGCAACTTCCTCTTTTTCTATTATAAAGCTACTTTGTACTTTCATTTCACCAAGCCAAGAAAAGGTGGGGGGAGAAGGTGCGCACAAAACTCTTTAGGAGTGGAAAATTTTACTTCCGAATATTTCATTTCACTGTCATTCATCCCAAGATCCAGATATTAAGAACTTCGTCTCTGAGCAAACTAGGCCACCCATGCCAGACTTGTGAAGGAGCTGGAGTTTGCATGCACTCACATTCTGGAAGTACTCATTCCACACTCCTCCCATTCCCTTCCTCTCTCCCCATGACTTCTACCTTCCCTTTGTTAAAACTGGTTTTTAGAACTTACAATCTCTAAATTGGCTTTTAGAATTTAGGATCATTAACAGTAATATGAGGTGTCACCTCCTCCTTTGTCTTTTCACTAAATCAATGCTTTATGATAAAAAGTTCACATAGTACTTAATCACGTATTGCTTTTTAATCTCTTGTCATATGTATATAACTTTTCATTTACCTTATCTTTGATATACAACCAGATTTATAAGCATTTTGAGGATAGAAACCATTCGCTTTAACAAAAATTTATTAAGTATCAACTATCTATCAGGCACTGGTCTAGGACTTACAGTTAATGTACAGAACAAGATGACAAGTCACTGCTTTCATGAAGCTTGTAGTCTGGTTGAGGAGGAAAAACAGACAAAACTTAATAAATAAATGCCCATATTAGAAGGTGGATTGCAGAGGTTTAAAATATGCTAATATGATAGAGAATGACTGAAGAGATGACTAACAAAAAGAAGGCAGCTATTCCAAGAGCTAAAAGAAGAAACATTCCTGGCTCCTGCAAGTCTCCATAAAGCATCAACTTAGCATAGTCAAGAAACAGAAGGAAAAGCAGAGTAGCTGGAGCTTCATGGGTAAGATGAAGAGGGGTTAGCAGGGCTACATTATGTGCTGCTTTATAAACTGTGATAAAAAAAAAAATCAGATCTTTCATATTAAGTGTAATAGGAGCCCAATAGAGTTTAACACTGAGGGTGGGGTAGGGGATAAAGTGATATGATCTATGTTTTTCAAAGATCATTCGGGCTGATACAATACAATGGACTTAGAGACAGCGACAATGAAAGCAGGGAGAGCAGGGCACAATAAAATGGTACCTTGGACTATTATCCCTATAGAGGCTAAGCTGAGAGAAATGAATGGACGAGAGCTTCAATAAATACAAATGATCCTCAGTTTGGAAATATCTGCCCCTTGGAGATGGAAATTCCGATCTCATCCTCTGGATCCACCTGGTGGGGTAGGAAAGGTACTGATGGGGCAACTGGCTGCTTGACCTTTCATTAGAACTGAAAGAAACTGAGCTCTAGAAGAAAGTCCAAGGAGAGGGATGGCTATATGAAAATCGTCCTAATTCTGTCCTCCTCAGCTTCATCTTTACTTGAGGTTCTGAAATTCTGATTTTCTGCAGCCATTAGGACTCCGAGGATGTGCTGCCACCTCTCATTTCACGTTTGGGCCCAACCATGGATATGTTAATCTCCTTGACTTCTTATAACGAAGCTGAAACAGACTGACATTTCCAGGAAACTTGTATCGAAAAAGCTTGTTAAAGTTTCTTTTCAAGGTTTTTATCACTTATTGTTGGCTAAAACTGGTCTTCATTTTCAACTTTAGTTTTAATCAAGACAGAATCAAAGATATATACCTTTAGCAATTAATACCTTACCAGTATATGACTGAATAAAATCTGGGGAAAAAATCTGTAATGACAACTGGTTTCAAGTTAGCAGGAGACAGAAAGTGAAAAAATATGAAATGTGATGCTAACCATGTACTATATCCTCATGAAGTATTTTAAACTCACATTCTTTGACTGCCTTTTCTTCTAGCTTCTTGACTCATTGTCTGTTTATCTGCTGGACCTCCATAAACTGATCTAAGAAACTTTCTTGTCATAGGCCCAAACTAAAGCAGAATACTTTGAACTTAAAATTTGTACTTCCTCAAAATTCCCAGGCCCTCCTCAGTCCTCCCACTCAATTCTTCTTTCCTGATAAGGCCAGTAAAGGTGATTAACATACTAAAGCATATCACCATTCTTTTGTTTGTTCATTTGTGTAATTAATTCAGCCCAGTTCTGTAACTCTTTTCATTTTACTTCCTGGCTCATATATATCCTCAGCAAAGCAGGGAAATGACCTTACTTAGCACAGACCAATAATTAATCAATAGTCATACAATTATCAGAATCACTTTCATGTAATAAAATTCAGTGGGGAAGTCATTAATTATTGGGCAAACAAAGGTCCTGATTTGCCCCAGACGAGAGGTGTCCAGGGACAGGGGACTTTCAGTGCTACAACTGGGGCAGTCCCTGGGATAGTACCTGGCAAAGAAGGCTGTTGGTTACCAGATTTCCAAGCAATAATGAAGGCCGACTTGGAACTCTCAGCAAGCCATGAAGAAGGAGCAATAACAATAATACTTTCTCTTCTCCTCTATCAAGTGAGAAGACTATGGAACTGTGATTCCTGGACCCTAGTCAGGTAAGGTTTCAAACTTATTATAGCACCATGACAGACATTCTGGAACTCTGTTTAACTTTCAATTTTAAATCATGAATGGGATAGGGAATGGAGGTTTTTGAGCAGAGAGAGAGAGGTGGTGGGGGCGGGGGGATAGAGAAGGAGAGAGAGAGGGACCAGACTGAATTATTTAGATAAATAAATCTAAAATATTTGTCTTTATCAAATTATCTAGATTTCTGCTGAAGTATTTTGCCTCACAATCCATACAAGCCCTTACTCTTTGAAAATTCTTTGTATCAAACCAAACTCTAAATTCTATGTTAGAATTTATCACCTCATTGCATAAAATACACCACTAAATTCAAAACTATTTTAATCCCAGTTAGAATAGCTTGAGGGTGACACCTGATGACTAAAGATGTTCACTAGGCCCTCTATCACTGTCTCTCTCTTTGAGCTGCAGACCACCTATAAATTTCTTGTTCATTTTTATTTAATTATTTCTTTAATAACTTTTATTTAACAAATATTTATCGCTACCAACTATGTATCTGGTAATGTTCTAAGCAGAAATATCATACCCTCTCCTCTCAGGAGTTCACCTTACCAACATTCTAATATTAATTTATTTCTATCTCTTCCCTACCCCAACAAACAACAAACAAGAGGGGCAAATAAACAACAACAATAAACAGGAAAATAAAATGAGAAAAATGTGTCCTTTATGTGTAAAAAAAAAATCACATAATCTATATTATTTACAAGTAGATATCTTTATATGACATTCACAATGACAAACATGACTCTCCTGGAAGTTAAGTACCATACTGGATGTGATTCATATTCACATTACATATGGAATGATTCATTATATGATATCTACAGTGACACGGAGGAAGCAAATAAATCTTTAGTAAACCTGTAGGTGACAAAGCTTATTTAAACTTTTATCAGGTATAGTCATTAAAGAGCTAGATTTCCCCAATGTCTGAACTAGTTCCTGAGAGGGAACAAAATGCTTTTGGAAAGTGCAATGACTTCTAAATTAATATCTCCGTGTATGACAACAAGAGATGTCAACCAAAGACAAAGAATGACTACCAACGTCTGCATTTGGGATTGAACATGTTTTAAATCCAGAGTCCCCAAACACACCTGAGACTCAGCTGTGCATGCAGAAGGTATACTGGACCATGCTCTCTGGCAAATACCACAAGGGGTGAGAGACGCAGGAATGGTCAGAGGGAAAGGTGGATGTGGTGCAATGGCTAAGGAGGCCTCAGCAGACTCCAGTGGTAGTTCTGATTCACAGTTGTTCTGATTTGATTGCAGCAATGGGACCAGGGCTTTGTGTCCCCTCATGGACCAGTCATTTAGTGTGGGCTCTCCCTTTAGAGGGAGATAACCTTGGGGCAAGGCAGCTTCATTTGCCTTAGGGCAATTATGAGGAGGAACTCAGTGGTGAGCTGTCAGTAGCAAAGCTCCTGTCTATGGGAATGAGTGCCCCAGTCCTGAAGGAGGAATCTAGTGATGCAACCACAGCATTTAGAATATCCACCAAAAGCCAAGACACCTGGCAGCTTGCTTGATGTAAGTCATATCTCATGTGCAATGTCACACCATCATGAACTAGGTCAGGATCAGAATGGCATCCTGGAGTGATAAAGTCCTGTAAGTGCATCCCTTCCTCTCAGGCCCATTATCACAGACCTGGTCCAGGTCAGTTTCTCAATTCTCAGTGGAGTTATTCTCATATATACTGTCTTCTCACACCTCCTACACACTTCAGTAACTGTAAAGCCAAGCACATTAATCACCTACCTGTAACTGCCAATGAGATATCATTTGTTTACAACTTAAGGTCCTCCACAGCTTTACAAATTAGCTCTCCTCGCCACTAACAAATTAAGTCCCTTCATGTACTCTATGCTCCAGAGAAACCAGGGTAGTCACTGTGTCACTCATATACTTACACAATTACACCTTTGGGTCTTACCTCATTTTGTACCATTTCCCTGACACCATGTTTCACATGTCAAACTCTGTCTCCTATTTCTCTTCCCTTTCATTCCCTGAA